CAAGGGCCTGCACAGTTGGATGAGATCCCTCTTCCTGGTTGATAGCTGGCCTTTCCTGCTGTGTCCTCACGTGATAGAAGGAGCTCTGTGGGGTCTTCTGTATGGGCACTAACCCTACTCAAGGAGCTCTCACCCCAAAACTTTCACCCCATCCCACTGGGCATAGGATTTCAAGGTGTGGCTATTGGGTGAACACAGACTTCCAGAGCATAACAAATACTATTTTGTATATTTCGTCCGGGTGTTTTGGTTATTTCAGGCGGGAGTGTCTGGTCCCTGTCACTCCATCATAGTGGAGGTGAAGCTCCCCTGTCTCTCTTTAGAAATGAAGAAACTGAAAGGAGAAATGGCTTGCCTAAAGTCACACAGCTAGTTAGTGTCACCAAGGACCAGGAAATTCACTCTGGAGACATTAATGTGTGCCTGGCACACAGGATATAGTTGTTACCCCCCAAAAGTCCACAGTCTGCTGGGGAGACAGATAAATGAACCAGGGAATAGAGAAGGCTGTGAATTATTTTGTGTGACAGAGGTAATCATGGGAAGCAAGCCCTGAGCAAGGGGTGAGGGGTGAATCTAGGGGTGAAGGAAAAGGAGGAGTCATCCGGGTGAGAAAGGGGTTCCACGAATAGCAACAGTACCTGCAAACCATGGTAGGAAGCAGACTTTTTGTTCTGCAAGCCTAGAATTCATGGTATTCTGCCTTGGGGACATCCCTTTTATTTTGGGGGGTCTATATCCAGCTTCATCTCCTAGAACCCCTGAAATGTGTGGTGCTCAGCCAGGGAATGGTGTGTAGGGCTGCAGAGTGGATTTTACCGAGAGATTTTTGGTGTGACTCCAGCTTCCTAACCTTCCACATTTTCCCTGGGGCAGACAATTTAACTTTCTGTGATTTGGAGCATCTGCCATCAAGAAACAGTCACAGTTAATCCTGGCTCCATTCTTGGTCCCTCTAAAGCTATTCCTTGGAGGCCACTTCCTTGAGGCTGTGGCTCTCATGAAACCCAGCAGGTCCACCGCCAAGAACTGCTTGGCGGTTCTTGGGCCAAGAGGGCCTAGAACTGCTTGAAGGCTCTCACCTAACTTGCTGGAACAAGGCCCTGATATAATTGCTGGGTTATTAATTTGTACCAACTGAATACAGACATCACTGGCCTTTGCTGCTGGTGGGGCAGGAAGGGAAGCCTTTCAACCAGCCAGAAGCTGTTGATTTATTCTCCAGCCTGGTTTATTTCTATCAAGGCCTGTTACCATATGACTGTTACCTTATGACTGTTCTGTCCCCGGCCTGGGCCCTGCGGTGGTGGCAACTGCTGTCATCCATGCTGGTTCTCCAGAGACGTGTCTCTCTCTTCATTCATTCACTTACTCAAGATAAGGAACATTTTGGACTGTATCCTGCTTTGACGAAGATTTTTATTTGGTGGGGCAGTTGGAAATTAATCAAATCATTTCTCAAATGTAAAATTAAACTGGGATAAGTGCTTAAAGGAGAGGAATTTGGGCCCATGAACTTCATGGAGGCCAGGAAAGACTTCCCCTAGGAGGTGGCAATTGAGGGAGACCTCAGGTGTGTATGGAAGCTGGTGAAGGGGGAGGGAGGAGATGAAGTGTGCAGGGTGCACTGCAAGGAGGCCAGCTGTAGGGGGGACGGGATCATGGGGCAAGGAAAATGAGAGTGGCTCAGGGGCTGTGTTAAGAATTGTCTTTATCATAAAAGCAGTTGGTAACTGTTGAAGACTTTTAAAATCTCAGGGAGGGAACATGATCGGATTTTTTGTTTCAGAAATATCACCCTGGCTACTCCTGCCCACTTCTAATTCACTTTCCACCAGGGTGGAGAGTGAATTAGAAGTGGGCAAGAGTAGCAGAGCCAGGTAAAGTACTGGATGCCCAGTTATACTCATATTTCAGAAACAGTGAGTACTTTTTTGGGTATAAGTATGTCTTGAATATCGCATGGGATGCATTTACAGTTAAAAATTGTCCATTGTTTAAGTTGAAATTCAAATTTAACTGGACAATGTACTTTGTTTAGCTCTGGCAAACATAAGCAAGGGAAGATGTGGAGAGGCCAGTTACAGCTGTGAAGCTTCTTAGACCAGGAAACCAGAACTGGAAACTGAGAGAAGTGGACAAAGAAGAAATACCTGTGGTTGGTCCAAGTCTGTCATTCCAGGGCATCTGGAAGACAGAACCTTCCGATTCCCTCCTGCTCTGAAATTTCAACTTCTTCACTCCTGCTGTTTAAAGAGACACACTTATGGGTGTGATCAACCTGCTGCAGTCTCAGTGCAGGCCATGTGCCCGCTTAGAATTTGTCCTGAATGACCTATGGGGTGTGAGCTGGGTCAGTGTGAGGGGGCCAAGAGGCCCCAGAGGCGAGCTCCTTAAGTTGCAGAGATTAATGCAAAGGAGAGATTTGGCTTAATGATATCAGAGGCCATGATGTAAATTGTCCATGATAACTTATGTTTTAGCAAATAAAACAGGAGAGTACAATAGTCAAGAACAGAGACTTTGCGGGGGGGTTCGGATGTCCAGCAGTTATTTTCTGGTTCATACTCCCTGTGTGATCTTAACTGAGGTGATTAACTCCTCTTGGCATTGCAGCATATCTTTAAGATTAGCACTAACATACACCAAGAGCCTGGCACATAGGAGATACTTCCTAAATGGTTGTCAGCTCCTCTTTGGGAAGGCTGGCTCATTTTATACAGTCTCACTTTGTTTTCTTGACTCATGGCCCTGGCTTTGTCTTTGTTCAAACCCTTTGCTGACTTTCTGTGGTCTGTATAGGACCTTCGTGTGCTGGTCCCCACTTGCCTTTATGCCACCATTGTCACTGTTTCCCCATCAGAGCCCTGTGCTCCAAAGAAATCAGGTTATTTAGCCATTCTTAAACCCAGCTTGAACTTTCCCACATTTTTATTTGCCTAGAACGTGTTTGCTGATATCTGTTCAGGCCTCAGTCATCCAAAATATTTATAAGGTGTTGTTACTAAAAGTATTATCAGACAACATGAAGCATGTGTAGAAAGTCAAATAAATCCCTATCACTGGGAAAATGACTAAATAAATTAGGATCCACATCTTTTGGGTAATATTATGCATTTGTTAGGGCGACTCTATGTGACCTGACCTAGAAAGGTATCTATCTGTGTGATATTGCTAAGTGATAAAAGAAAACTGTAGAACAATATGGGAAATAGAGACACAGATGTGCTTAGAAAGGGATCCAGTTGTGTCTATAATAGAGATTTTCCCTGGAGACAAGAGTGAAATTGGGTTGGAAGTAAAAGGAAGCTGTTAACATTTTGTTAGCATACTTTTATGGTTTTGGTTTGTTTACTCGAGCTGTGTTAATTTTATAATTGAAATTCAGTCAAAATGCATAGGAAAATGAAGAGAAGAAAAGAAACCACAGTCATGTTTCAGTTGTTAGACTGGGAAGTTCTCTCTCTCACCCAACTTGTCATTATTCTATTAAAGAACAAAATAATAACAAAAGAAGGGAACATTCTGGTAAAATCTACTTTACCAGAGGAAATGCTCCTTCCTCTATCAAACAGCTTTCTGATTTTTTCAACTGGATGTTCTATTTCCTTTCTTTGAACCCTCAAAGTACTTTGCCTTTTGTGCTGATTTCCATCTACCTTGTAAATATTTTGTACATTTTTTCCTGCCTCTCTTGATTTAAGCAACTTGAGAAGAAAACTGCCTTTCAAGTCAGAAGATTTGGATGTCAGCTCTTGTTCTGGTTGTCTATGGCAACATGACAAATCAGCCCAAACGTTGCAGCTTGAAGCAGCAGTCATTTCACTCACTCTTACAATGTTTTGATCAGAAACATGAGCAGAGCTGGGCCTACTGATTCTACTTTCTACAGTGTCAGCTGGGGTCACGTGGTGATATTGAACTTGTGGTTGGGATAGACAGCAGGATCCAAGAAGGCTTTACTCACATGTCTGCTAGCTGGCAGGGCAGCAGGGAAGCTGCTTTTTGCCTGCCCTTTCCTTCCTAAGTCATCTCAGCCTCTTTCCATGCACTTATGACAAGTGACTCAAGGCCTCAGGAGATCAAGGCTGACCAAAGCAAAAGCTGTCTGTCTTCTTAGAGGGTGGACCTGGCAGGCATAGAGTAACTTCTTTCTGCTTTACTGCCAAAGGGCTCATCACTCAGATTCAAGGGCGTAGGGTCAGAGATGCACATCGTGAAAGGAGAATTTTTGTAAAAGATTTGTGACCACTCTTAATCCATCATAGCTATGCTATGAAGGCGGCCTCTGTGTGTCAATGACTACATCGTGAATTAGAAAGACCCAAAGTTATACTGCAGGCAGAAGCACTATGCATTCTAAGAATGAGCTGTGCTACACACATGGACGCATATCTTGGGGTTCACTCTATGGCTTACTCAGGGCGGGTAGTCATTAGCTGTCTGCTACTTTGAAACTCATTTACCATGTATTTCCTAAGAGGAACTCAAACAAAGTAACACTGGGCCTCACCTGGAGGGGGTGGGGGATAGAGTTGTGGGATGCAGATTGTGCATCCAAGCGCTGTCACCCAGTTACTGTGTGACTTGTATTGACTCACTCGCCTTTCCCCCTCCTAGTATAGAATAATGTTACCGACTTAGCTGGGTGGCTGTGAGCATTGCAGCTAATCTGATTAAAGTCCTTAGTCTGGTGACTGTCCATAAGGGCTTCCCTTTCTCTTAGTATGGCCCCACAGTGTCACATGGAAAGCTTGGACTCCTCACCTCTTCTCTGCCCTGGTCACCTGCATTTGCACAGATAATTGAGGGGGAGTTTGGAGCCGTTGACCTGCGCAAAGCAACAGGGAGAGGAAGGCCTCTACTTCTTGTTTCCCCTGGCCTCCTCTTCCCAAAGAGCTCCTTTCCCAGACATTGGGCCCTGTGCAGCCATGGGGTGAAGTCCCCCTTCTCTGAGTGATGGGTGTGGCCTGTTTAGACCATGGCTTTGCCTCCACTAGATGTATGAGATCAAATCTGAAGGCAGCATTGCGAAGAAGTTCAATGAGATTCTGCAGAAGCTGAGCTCCCCCCTGCAGCCCAGAGTTCCAGAGCACAGCAACAGCAGGATGAAGAACCTCTCCTATCCTTTCTCCAGGGAGAAAATGTACCTGTGAGTATTGTGGATGGGGTGGGGATGCAGGAGAGGCTGGGATTACCAAACGCCACTCAGCGCCTCAGAGCAAAGAGTGAGCGGAGGGAGCATGCAGTGTTGGCAATGCAGTCCTGGGCTTCTTTCTGAATCCTTTTCTTTAAGTGAGATTATCCAGGATAGCTCCTGGGTCTTCACCAGCAGCTTGTGGGGGACCCTGCCACCTTGGTCATTTGTGCTGTGGATCCATTGAAAATTGGCGGAGGGGGGTAACTATAAACTTAGGGACTCTGTGGGGAAAATGGTCAGATACCTGTTTACCTTCAGTGGGGTCAGTTTCCGCCCAGTTCCCAGTTTTGTAGGGTTTCAACATAATGTGATACACCAGTGAGAGGGTGGCTGTAGCTTCTGGATCTCTGTATTCTCAGCTGCCTGGTCATTACCCTGAGATACCCCACCTCACACCCACACTTGGAATGAGAGCTCTTCTCAGAGATGCCATTTTGGAAGCTTTGGAGGGAGGACCCAGTCCTGGGAAGTGGGAGAGGCAGGAGCTGATCATTAATGCTGTTCTAGGTACTCAGGAGCAAAGGAGAGACTGTCAGGAGTGTTGAGAGAATTGCGAGGGGTCGGCAGGGAGGGATGCAGGAAATAGGAGGAGCGAGGGCCCTTTGGAGGAGCTGAGTTCCCAAAGCACCGTGTTTGCTGATCTCTAGAGACTTGTCTCCCACCCACCTTCACCCTGAGAAGTGGCGCATAGTTCTGTGCACATGCAAACCTGCTCCTTTACATGCGTCGCCTCACTGAATCCTTCTACCCCTCTTGTGAGGTGGCCATGCGCATATAGCCATCCTGCCACAGACAGAAAACCAAGGCCCAGGGTCTGTCCAAGCTCACGCAGCCCTAAGGGTTGAGCTGGGAATGGCATGTTGACCTCCTTGTCTGCCCTCTGCTTTGTCTGCACCACCCCCATCCCGGGGTCTGCTCTAGGCCGGTGCTGGCGCATGAACTGCCACCTCCCACACCCCTCCATCCAGCCAGCCTCTGCAGGCCGTCAGGTCCAGTTCTAAATATCTTCTTGAAGAATCTTTTGTTCTTCCCAGCCCAAACATGCTCTCCATTATCTGAGTTTTCTCGGAAATTGTCATTCTGCACCAGTTATTTGGTACCCCTGTGGCTGGGCGCCCACCGTGACACAGTGTCCATGAGCACAGCCCCCCAGCAGGGCTAACATACGTGGGTGGAGTTCTTTATTTATTCATTTTTTTTTTGAGTGAAAGGTCAGTGCATGAGGTTTAGAACAGACACAGAGCTTGCATAATTAGGAGTTTAGTATCTTGTTGATGAGACAACAGGGACAGAATGAAATTAAGATTTGAAAAACAGATTTAAATGCCTAATATCCTTAAGCTCTTTATTGTTTTTTAATCTCTTTAGCATCATTGTCCATCCACAGGAACTCTTTTTATATACTTTCATTTAAAAAACTTGTCAGAGTGTAACACTTTTTTTTATCAGTATATAACATTTTTTTATTTATGAAATTCTCATAATTAGAGTTTTCAGTGACTGCATCATTATCATAGGGACATTGGAGTTGCATCTTACCTCCATAATCTTTGTTATTGGTAACTTTGCAAAGGCTATTTTTATTTATAGAATTTTCCCCCCCACTGCATTTATTTCTGTGTGCTGCATGTCTGTGATAAGTTTCCAGAACTACTGGGTCAAAAGCATGTAAGCACTGAGAGGTGTCGAGTGTGTTGGCTTCATGCGTCTTGCTGGGGAGTGTGCTCAAGGCTTCCCGGGGCTGGGTGACAGTGGTCTCGGGACAAGGGTAAAGAAATGACTGGGCCTTCTGTTTTCTTGGTGTCTCCAGGTACAACATCCGGGATAAGGACACCTTCTTTGATAATGCGACCCGGAGCCGCATCGTAAGTGACAGGCTAACTGGTGGGGTGGGCTGGGAAAAGCCTAAATGCCCGCTTGGGTAGGGCACACTCAGCCCTTGGGCTAGTGCCTATCATCATTTGATTGGAGTTACCTTGCTGCTTAGAGGCATAGCCAGAAGCTTCCCAATCCTAGCAGCCAAAAAAAAAATATAGCTAGCAATTTTCTCCATGACAGGTTTCCCCCAAAGTCCTCTTGGAATCACAGAGACAGGGAGTTCAGGGCTGCTGGGGACTTTCAGCTAGTCAGGTGACCCCTTTGCTTACAGCTGAGCAAACGGAGCTCCTGAGATGTCACAGATGGAAACAAATTCACTTAGATGGTTAGTGTGCAAGGAGGCATACAGAGAGGCCCTTGTATGTCTCCATGCATTTCTGTTCTTTCACCCCCAAAGAAGCTGCATGTATTCATGTCACAGGGAATGGCCAGAGTTGACCAGTTTGTCCAGGAACCAAATTACCAACTCATTCGATGGAAAGCCAACAGTTACAACCATAGCTGTCCTTTACCTTTTTGCCTTTTAATGTCAAATTTCTGAATTTTGCAGGAGTGATTCTAAGGAGAATCTGATCACAGATTGTGCCCCTGTGGCCTTAGACACCTCCATCCACTGGTTCGTTTATTCTCACCTCTCCCAGAGATCTTTCGGCTTATGGACAGAGGAGAGAAAGAGGCCCTGGGGATGCTGGACACTCACTCATGCCGCTGTGGAGCATGACAGTGTGTCCCCGCTGTGCCCCAGGAAAGAGCTGGAGTGTCTCTAAGGGATGAGGGCTAGATACCTAGAGGGCTTCCGAGTCAGCAGGTGACAGGAAAGGATAAGAAGCGACAAATGACTGGAAGAAACATCAGCCCATTTGCAAGACTCTGTGCTTGCAGGATGGATGAGAAATGAAGTTCCTTAGCTGGGTGTTTTAGGAGGGCTTAAAGCGGGCATGTGATGGCTTTAATCATCCTATCGAAAAAAAGCACAGGCTTCTTATTTTCTTGGTTGATGCTGTTACAAGTCATTTATATCTCCCTGTGGTTTGGGTCCCACATCTGTGAGGGAGTTATAGGGTGTTGTGGAGATTACCCGATAATTGCAAAGTGCTTATAAAATAATACAATGCCATATAAATGCTGTTCCTAATTATTATTGCTGTTGAATTACTGTACTGGATTATAAGTGAATTAAGCATTCTCGGGCCCCTTTCTGCTGGAAGTTATTTATTTACCACTCCCTCTAGGTCTGTGTCTGGAATATGGGAGGGTGAGTGGTGATGGAGTAACACATCTTCTCTCATTCATCTCTCCTTCTGGAAGCTTCTTCCTTCCCCTTCTGCCATTCCCCAGTCCATTCCACACTGTGAGAAAGATAAAGAGCCTTGGCCTTTGTTAGGGGGTTCACTCTGCCTTAGACTTTTATCTGAGGGTCTTGCCCACAGCTCTGAATGTCTCTCCTGTGCTCCCTTCTTTGTGGCTTCTGAGCAGCCCAGCTGTTTGTTCCAGAGCTGCCTTCCTTGCTGGGCATCTCTTTGTAGCCTGGCTCAGACTTGGGACCCTCATGAGGGCACGAGTTGGCTATCATGTTCACACACAGGTCCACCCATGTCCCTGCATCCTCAGCAGGGGGTACGTTCACCTCCCCACCAGCCCACTGTCCACATGAGAGATGGCGTCCCTTGCAAACCGCAGAGTGCAGGGGTTTGTAGGCCCACATAGGGTGCAACGGTCATTGAGGAGGCTGGGTGCCCAGGAGGTGCTCCGAAGACTCCATTCTGCAGAAGTGTGTGGTGCTCCCTGACTGCAGGGGTGTGGTGAAGGTCAGGGAAAACAGAAATAATAGTATTAATGACCAATTCATAGGCAGCCCTTATTAGGCTTCTGGATGCATGGTTTCTCAAAGCAGCTCTGCGAGATGGCTCTATCACAGAGAAGAAACGGACCTCAGAGAGCAAGCTGCGCAGTCTCTCTGATCCCGGCCAGAACTACAACTTGGCTCATCTGCCACCATGTCCTGTGCTCTTCCCAGGGCCCCCCTGAGAGCTTCTGTATGATTCTGAAAATGCTATCACCGCACAGAACCTGTTCTGATTCCTCCTTCAGTACTGCTCCCTGTTACCATGCGGCTCAGAAGGCCCACTGGCGATCAAAGCTGGTGGGGAGGGCAGCCTTCTCTTCCTCTCCCCCCAGACTTCCTACCAGGAGGCAGACACCCCCCTTTCTAGCTCCACCCCAGGTGCTTCTTCCCTCTCCCTCCAGGGGGTGATGTGCATATGGGCTCCCTGGTGTGTTTTCCTTACCTCCTGTCACTGCAGTCAGTTTATGGTCTTTTCTTTACGTTTTCAGAGTGGGGGCAAGAGGGGTGGCATGAGTCTGAGGGGGACAGATTTTTTGTTTTCTCAAAGCCCCCAAGTCTGAGTGGGTTTGATCGTAGTCCATGAGGTGGCACATGCTTGGTGGCCTCTTCCCTGGAAATGTGTTTAGCCACGTCATCCACTTCTCGCCCCCCAGGGTGATGATGGCCTACCCCCCCTCCCCAACCCCCAGCGTGGTGACACACATGGTCAAGGTGCTCACAACCCTGCTGTCGTCTGTTCTAGGTGCATGAGATCCTGAAGCGCACGTCCTGTTCTCGAGCCAACAACACGATGGGTAAGGACTGCGCCCCCACCCGTGGGCAGAGCGCCAGGGGACCAGCGCTGTTCTTTCAGCAGCTGCCTTGGTAGGCAGCAACAAGGAACAAAACACAAACGCCCCACACGGAGAGGCAGAGAGGCGGGGGAGGCTGCTTTCACTTAGTCTGGGAAAGCCTGCTTGCCCTCCAGGAGCAGAGGGCGCCCCATTTCTTGGTGGGGCTGAGACTGCTCCCAGGCAGCTCTAACTTCTCCCAGACGGTCCCTGCCGGCTGTCTGTGCTGTTTCCCACCTATACCTTCCACTTCATCCTGACAATTCAGCTGCTCCTCTTCACAATCTCCACCAGTTTTTAATAATCACCCTCAAACAGGACAGGTTTTTAATTATTTGTTTTTTAAGAAGGAAGGAAGGCATCTGAGAGGTCCTTGAGCTCAACCCTTTCATGGAAGGCTGCTGAGAGGGTGAATGACTTGTCCAAGGCGCTCGTTAGTCTGAATGTGCTTCTTGTAAGTTCAGTGTTTTTGGCTCCTTGTCTGGCTGACTGGGTTTGTTTTGTGGTTTGCTTTTTAGATGGGAAAGTGTTTGTCTTTGAAGCAGAAGCCTTGGTGTTTGGAAACTTGCAGTATGAGGCAGGCGGTCGGGGTGCTGAGGGACTGTGGAGGGACACACAAGATAGTGAGGTCAACATGGGAGCTCCCACACACAAGCACCATCCTTTTCACATGGCTGCCCCTTCCGGGGTGCTGCCAGACCTCTGGATGGCTTTCGAAACCTTTGTGAGAGCTGCCTTCAGAACACGTGCTGAGGTAGCAGATCCTCAGCTTTTGAGGTGTCTTGAAGAGTCCAGAGTCATTGGGAGGCAATGTGAGCAAAGAGCAGAGGTGCTTACGCTGAGGAGTAACAACAGTGGTGAATGTAATAATGGCTGGTACCTAAGAGCACCAGTGAGGCTTCTGAGCTACATGGTAACAGGGAGCAGTACTGATGGAGGAATGAGAACAGGTTCTGTGTGGTGATGGCATTTTCAGAATCATGCAGAAGCTCTCAGGGGGGCCATTATGTCTGACTTGGCTTTGATGTATTCATCTTGCTACAAAATTCCAAACACCCTTCTAAGTATAAAAGTCAGATTTTCCATGTGATGTAACTTGTCTGGAGCATGGTGCTGATGAGGCAGACATGAATGAATGAGATAATTAACAATAATTAATCCATCTCAGTTCCATGGAAAGATCAGAGGCCCTTGCTCAGCAGGCGTCCTAGGTGATTCAGACACCCCCGTAGTCAAGGAGTCCTACCTTGTATTCTGTATTTTCTCATGGTTCTATCAAAGTTCTTGAATTTTCCTTTACTTCTTGATTAGTTCACCCCTCCATGCAATATAAAATCAACCTTTGAGCCAGCAGCTAGATTTTGATTTTATTGCCCTTCTCTTTGGTTTCATACACAAGTATTAATGGCTGTGTTTGAATTAGAATCCTCCTGAGAACTTTTGCCTCATAAAACGAAAAGAAAAGGTAACGACAGGGCTGTGTTTGGAATTGTTTTGCAAGGTGTTTTCAGTAATCCTTACTTTCATGACCAACTTACAACGCTTTATTCCCTTTCTCATTACACCCAGTTCCAATGGAAATTAGATGAAAAGGATAATAAATATCAGAAGATGGAAAGGTACTAGAGATAATTCCAGCATGCTCCTATAAGAGTTAGGTTGAGCCTACTTCTATCTTTGTTGAAGATACATTTTTGAACATCTGCTGCTTTTATAAAACATTAAATTGCATACAAATTATATGTTTTGATTTATTTATATTCTTGTCTTATTACACAAAGTTTCTGAGGTGGCTTACAAGAAAAACAATGAAAGAGCATGACATAAATAATAAATAAGAACCAAGAAAAATCCAAATTAAAATAGAATGTCAAAACTAGGAGAAAAAAATAGAACACAAATATGCAAACCAGAAGACCCTCTAATTTCTGCACTTGGGCTGCAAATTTAACCTTGAACCAGAGTGAAAGGAGACTATGACCAGTGGTTTTAGCCTTTTTTTTTTTTTTTAAAGATTTACCTATTTATGCATACAAGAGCTGGGGTACAGGCCAGAGGTGTGGGGGTAAGAGGCTTTTCCAGAGACAGAGTAGGGAACAGAACAGGCAGATTGACTGAAATACACTGCTGAGGGAAGCAGCGGGCTAGAGAGGAGAGGTCTGCCACGCCTTATGGATTGCTCCCTGGCTGGCCGGGGATCGAACTCGTGCTGCAGAGGCTACATATTGCCTCATAGTGCAGTGCTTAACCCCTTGTGCCACCAGGAAGGCCCAGGTTTTAGCTCTTGATGTCCTCAGCAATAATTTTTTATATAGAACATTTTCTAAAATCTCTCATACAATTCCCTGCATTTTATATAAACTAATACTAACACATATTCTCTCTACAAGTGCATGTGTAAACTTTTCTGGCTTATTTAGGAACTCAATAAAAATGCAGTATTCTATGTTTCGTCAAGGATTATCAAGTATTATTAGATTCCTTTGTCCCACACTCTGAATCCTTGAAGCTTTGACACTGGTGACCTCCCTACCAGCTTCAATTTCACTTTGCTATTTGGGAGACAACAAAAGAAGCTCATTAGAATTTTGGGTTAAGAGAGAGTGAAAATGAATTGAAGAAGGCCCAGAAGGATTCTGGATTAGGGGATAGGTTGATGAGAGCTACATCCTTTTTCTTTCTTCTGGGTTCTCTGTTATGAGGGCTAAGGTAACCAGACATGTGATTACTATACAAATAAGGTATCACTGTAATCAAAACAATAAAGACCCCTTGCACTTGTGTAGGATGTATGCTTCCCAAAGCACTTTTACACTCATAACCTCATTTGGGCCTTTAAACTACCGTACAAACTGGGTTCAACACACGTTAACTAATTTCACAGCAGAGATGAACTGCCTTACCCAGGGTCAAAGTTTGGAGCCAGATTTAGAAGCTAGTTTCCCTAACTCTTCTTAGTGCTCTTTAATCAGTGGATAAATAGCTGAGGTTAATTAGGAAAGGTTCCTAGAGAAGGTGGAAGCTGAGGCCTTCCCATTCATTCAATCAAAAATTTATTGAGCACCTACTATGGGTCATTCATATTCTAAAACTAGAGTAGAGTGGTGAATCCAGGAGGCACAGTGGGTGCAGATCCTTTCCCCTGTGAGGCTTACATTTGAGGTGAGTTTTGAGACGAGGGACTAAACCACGTGCCTGTATGGCAAGAGAGATTCATGCCAGGAAAGCAAATAATGCCAAAACTGTGATGGGAGCCCCTCCAGAGAATCAGGTGGGATCTGGCAGGAGCTGATGACACAGTCACCTTAGGTAATTCAAGGCAGGACTGTTTACAGAGAGAAGGTTTTCACAGATGTGTACAGGGAGTTGGGGAATGCAGAGATGGTGTAGAAATATGGACCATCTCTAGACCCAGGGGACAAGAGACCTCTGGAGCCGGGAGGGATTGAACCGGGTGGCTGAGGAGGCACTGCAAGGGCCATGCCTGTTCTGGGAGGAAGCTAGGGTCTGTACATTGTCCTGCCTCCCCCTGACCTGCTGTGCTCAGTCAAAAGGGAGACAACAGGCCAGCCGCTCCCTTCAGAGAGACAAGGGGAGAGAGTGTGTCTGGAAGAGGTAAAAGGAGGAACACCCGCTGGCACAGCCACAGAGGCAGAGCCCATCCTGCCTCGGGACCACCAAGTTAAGATACCTCGGTCAGGGCGAGTGTGTCTCAAATTCACAAATGCAAGAACAAAAAGGAGGACCTGCGGTGTTCTCAGAGCTTCTTCCTAGTGTGAAAATTTCTTAGACTGATTTGAAGGAGCAATATAGGCTTCTTCCCATGTGAGACAACTCAGCCCAGAGAGGGGACTGATTTCCTATCCACTCATGGGGAGTAGGTCTCTCTCTCCTTTTTCCTTTTCTTCCTTTTTTTTTCCTCAGGTGGGGGTGGGGTGGGAGGGGTAAAATTAACATAAGAAGGTAAAATATGAGGAGCTGGACTTGCCAGGCATGGGTGGACTGGCGGTTGGTGAGGACTAATGTTAACTTCTTGGGTTTCTTCCGTAATCATCATCTTATTACTCCTGGGAGTGAGGGGTGTGGACGAACAGACACAATGTTTGGAGACTTTCTTGTGAGCTGGGGTACAGCAGAGTGGTTAGATCGGGTGCAGCAGGGTGGTGAGCTGGGGTGGTAGAAAGTGAGTGATCACAGACCCAGCCTGCTCAGACACCTTCTTGTCCGGTACAGCGTGAGGTCAGCAGCTGGCGCCCTGCAAGTTTACAGCAATGTAGAATGACCCGAAAGTGCACTTTCCCATACAAAGAAAACCGAAGCTTCCTTGACCGTATCCGGGGAGAATAGACACCTTTCTTCCTCTTTCGTATGGAAGTTATTGTTGCCTTTTCATGGACAGAAAATTGCAGATTGATGGAGCTACATTTTCATAGACATTTTGGTGTCAGAGCATTTAAACAAATGTATGCTTTGGGCATTTCCCCTCCCCACTTGAGAGACGATGTCTTAATTATTTTGACCAAAGCCAGACCGTGTTGTGTGTTGTAAACATCTGGTTTATCATTCATCCAGCTGAACTGGTTTATATTTTGTTAGAAGAAAAGGCTTGGGATTAAAGGCATTTAAGTAATTAAGCACACGTCAAGACGATTTGGTGATGGGTAAATATAGTCTCTGTTAAATGCACTGTCTGGAGGCTCTGGTTTAGATTTACATCCGACTGAGTGCAGGGATGAAAGCAGGATGCCGGGCGGACTGGGCCTTGTTTGGGGGGCAATCAAAACCAAATGAGTTTTCAGGAGTTCAGCACCATTCCTTTAAGTACCTGTCTTGATGGATGAAAGTTTCCTTTGACTGGCTTGGAGGGGATGGAGCTGCACTCCCTCTCACTGTGAGGCACTGGAAGATTTAATGAGCCCCTCTTTGGGAGGCAGGCCATGAGCTGTGTTTTGGTGGATCCTTTGTGGCCAGGAAACCAGAGATGTCTTGGGCGCTAAATGCTGGGCCTTAGGTCGTGTCTTGCATACATGTGTCTTCAGGTACCAGACCTGGGACCTGAGCCCATCCTGCTGTCTCCTTGGCGACCCTATGGAGGCTGAGGATGCGTTGCTAGGCCAACTGGGTCAGACTGTGTAACTGACAGCGCTGAGCAGAGAGGAAGCTCCAGCCTTTTCCTTGGGGATTGTAGTTCTAAACAACAAGTCCCACGTACCTGGGGAAGTGAGGAGACTTTAGGGATTAGAGAGGTCCTTCGCCAGCTATGCTTTGAGCTGAAACACTGCTTCTCTCTGGGAGGAGAGGGAAAGCAGAAGGTTGTCAGTGCCTACTCCCTTCTGGGAGTAGGAGGACAAAAGGTTGGGTCCCTCTCCCCCGGTCTAGAGCAGAGAAGAAAGACTATAGACATGGTCCTGGAGAAGAAAGCTTCACAGTCTTAGCCAGATGGATGGTGCACGATGGAACCAATTAGCCTGCTTTTGCTGAAAAGAAAGGAAAAAATTCAGAATTTCAATTTTCAAAGCAGAGACTCTTTTAAAAAAAGCGTTTGATTATTTTCTTCTTCTTTCAAACTGATTTCCATGCTTGTTTGGGGGTAGTCTTGGTTTCAGAAGTCTGTGGGTGACCCAAGAGGCCAAAGCAATCCCAGTTCTTGAGTGAAGCTGTGGATGCCTACTTTTCAGCTTGCTCCCCCACATCCCCCATTCTCCTTTTATGTTATCTCCTCTTCCTCCACCCACCAGCCACCGACTGACATCATCATATGATGCCACCTGAAAAAGAGGAGGTACACTGCCTTGGGGGACACATTTCTCTACAGCTTTGGAGGGGGTGCTTGTAATCAGGATTAGGACAGTTCAGCTTTGATGACCTGAACCCTGTTGGCTACAAAGCAAGAACCATTTGTTGGAGTTCCTCTCTCGGGACTCATTGAGTTGAAAGTGTCATCACCAGCATAGCTTGTCTAAGAAATTGGAATAGTGAGGAAGAGTAGCCCAGGATAAGTAGGAGATACCAGGGCAGCTGAGGGGCTGGTCACTTTAGGAAACCACTAGGCCTTTGGCCTTCCCAGCAGCGAACTAGGTATTGTGAGAGACTCAGTGAGAGGTGGGAGCTCAGGAACCTTGTAGCCTTGGGGGACACACAACAGTGAGAACAAAAAAGGCCCTGGGAGTGAAGGAGCTTTCTGCCTGAGGCTGTGCTGTGCAAAGGGAGCTTTGTTTGAGGTGGGGGTCGTGCAAGCAGCTGTAGCCCTCCAGTGATTGGAGATTTTTTTTTTTTTAAGATTTATTTATTTATGCATACAAGAGCTGGGGTGTAGGCCAGAGATGTGTAGGGGAGAGAGGATTCACCAGAGACAGAGTAGGGAGCAAAACAAGCAGATCCACTGAAATACACTGCTAGGGGGAAGCAGCAGGTGAGACAGGAGAGGTCTGCTGTGCCATGTGGGTCACCTCCCTGGCTGGGGATCGAACTTGTGCTGCAGTGGCTGCAGATAGCTTCATAGTACTGCTTGTACCACTAGGGAGGCCCTGATTGGAGATCTTTCTAAGGGTCTGGCAGTGGAACCCATGTATACAACAGGTTGTCAGCCTAACGCTCTTGGACCCTCACTCGACTACTATGCTAAGCAAAGCCCAGAGTTAGCAGAAGAGCTCAACACCTGCTTGACTTTTTACATGCAGTGTGAGGACTGTTTTCAGGGCATCCACTGCTGCTGTGGGAGTGAGCGAGGGAAGGGGTGGGGTGCGCATGGGGTGCGGTCTGGATGGAGCCTTACCCGCCTGTGAGGCTTCAGCCTCTATCCATGTGGACAGCCCTCTGTAGCTTTGAACTCCTCCCATCCCTTCCCACTTGGGGTTCCACCCCTTGATGATTGTAGGGTGGCTTCGCATTGCTGTGGTTATGGCTCTTGAACTGATTAATGATGCTCAGAGTGAAATTGTAGTCTTGTGAGTAAGACAAATCTGTAGCTCATTCAGCCTCCCGGGTACCCCTCCTGCTCCACACTCCTTTACCCAGCCTCGGCTCCCTCTACCCCCCAAAGTTAATTCTGATGTTTCATGCTCATGCCAAGGAGGAAACTTAAAATCAGGAAAGTACGGGTCTTTGGTGATGCCGCAGCACCTAAACACTCAGCTTTCAGCTCATTGGAAGAGCAGCCTCTTCCATAGAGCGCCCCTGGCAACCTCCCAGGAGCCCCTGCTCCTTTGTGGGGCCTGTAGCTGCTCTTCCTGAGATCCTCCATCCTAAACCTTGAGAACAAGCAAAGTCTGAGTAAGAGGAGGCTATGGGGGAGGGAGGATCTTTTGAGACCGTCTGTGGTCTCTGATCACGTGGGTGGGGCATTGAATGGGAACAGGAGGTAGACAACTATGAATTTTCATGAGTAGATGTTGTCTAGACTTTTCCTCTGACCTTGACATTTATCCAGAGCTCTGCAAATGCAGATTATTTAGCGTTTGAATATCATACGTATTTCCCTCCCAAACCAATTTTCTCATCTCACTGCTGTCTGCAGTCTTCTCTGGAAAGAGTGGTTCAGGGCAGAGAGTGTGTTTGAGACCAGGAAAATCACCTGTAGCATGGACCTGCCTTCGTCCTGCCTCTGTGGGATGAAATGCGCGTCCTCCCTTGGCTGGGTTCCCCTCGGGACTAGTGGGTGACACACAGCCCCTCCCGTCTGGGGGCCCATAGTCCAGGACAGACTTATACCTTAGTCAGTCTGAACCTACAGACCACTTTGCAGTCTCTGAACAAACCTGTGAATGAGAAATAACAACGAATGTGCTGAGCAGGGGGCCTGCTGCTTGGCACTGACTGAGTTGAAAGTGTCTTCACCAGCATAGTGTGTCAGGAAACAGGAGTAGTGAAGAAGATTGGGTGCCTGGGGAAGGGGACAGATACTGAGGGTAATGGACCTGTGGGGACAGAGCCTCTCGCTCGCTTCACACTTAATTGCTGCAAGTGGTGTGAGATGATGTTGGGGTTAAAAAATGAAGCTCTTGTGTAGTTTTCAAGCCTTGTGGCCTCAGGATCCCTTTTCACTTTTGGAAATGTTTGAGAGCAGCCGAAGGGCTTTTGTTTACGCAGCTTATACTGATCAATATGATTGGATTAGCAGTTAAAATAGAAAATGTTAAAGCACAAGGATGCCCAGTGCACATTCCGAGGGAGGATGTTCCCCGCGTCATAGAGCTCTGACACTCACGAGAGACTGGGAGAGAAAGAGCCAATGCTGTCTTAGGCTATTATAAAAATAGTCCTTTTTTTCAGGTCTTCCAATTCAGATTTTTTTTATTCCTTTTTTTTTTAAGATTTATTTATTTATGCATACAAGATCTGGGGTATAGGCCAGAGGTGTGGGGGGCGAGAGGATTCACTAGAGACAGAGTGGGGAGCAGAACAGGTGGAACGACTGAATACACTGTTGAGGGGAGCAGCAGGCGAGAAAGGACAGGTCTGCTGTGCCATGTGGGTAGCTCCCCGGCTGGGGATTGAACTCATGCTGCAGTGGCTGTGGATAGTTTCTTAGTGCTATGACTTAACCCCTTCCAGCACCAAGGAGGCCCCTTTTTATTCATCTTTAACTGAGGTAATATTGGGGTATCCCCTTTGTGTATATACCACCATGGTGCACCCATCACCAATGCACCCCTATTCTGGCACCATAGACTATGATGATGCTTCCTTCCCTCTTTGTTCTTTCCCCTCCCCCAACATTTCCCTCCATGGTGTCTCAGTCCTCTACTCAGCTATCAAGGGTTAGTTTTTCAACTTGTCTTTATCTGACTATTAATTTAGCTACTTTATAGTCTACCTATTAGTGACAGCATCACCCTCCTTCTGACTACACTTGGCATCATCTTTTCTAGTTCTATCCATGTTTCTGCAAATGGCATGAGTTTATCTTTTTGACCGCTTAGTAATATTCCATCGTGTATCTGTACCACATCTTCTTGATCTAATCATTTGTTCTGGGACACTTAGCTTTAAAAATAGTGTTGACCTTATGAACAGTCCCCTGAACGGGTTGTTGGGACTCCCCAGGGTTCTCATACTTTGGAACCTGCAGCCCTATTGCCCTTACTTCAGGAAATAATGTTTCAGACAGATCAGTCACATTAATAAGTACGGTTCCCCTGCAGGAACAAGAAGGAGCCAGACATGAATCCAGAAAAGTGCCATGGGCTGTTAGAACATATACTTGATTGATCACAATTACCGTCGCCCATCTAGCCCTTCCTGTCGGTGAACATAGTTACATCGTCTCAGCTGACTGGGTAGCCTTGGTGGCAGTGACAGAGGAAGAGAAGAAGAGGAGGGTTATTAAACTGGCGTGGTCTGAATGTTTGAGGACAGGAGGAATGTGATGTTTCAGTGAGCAGATTTGATATCCAGACACAGCTTTGTATTTGGGAAATGAAAGAAATAATTGTTCTTGGACTAAGAACTAAAACTTGAAAAAACATCTAGACTGGAGGTTAGAGAAGAGAACGCTGTGAGTCTCAGTGGAGAGATGGGCGAGAGCTTCATATTTATCAAAGATGAAGGTTAAGTGCACAAAACCCTGCCCTCGAGTTCCTATTTTCATGTTCCTTTCTTCCGTAGGTATTAACTCTCTGATAGCAAACAACATCTACGAGGCCGCCTACCCTCTTCATGACGTAAGTACGCTTCTGGTGGCTGGCTCTCTCCAGTCTTCCAACACATGAAAACCACAGATGACAGGGCTGGGGGATGGACGCAAGGCAAGGCGGGAGGGAAGGTGACAGCTGTCACCCTGGCTGAATCTGCCCTGCTCGTGACTGACAGTAATCCCTGGTTTGATTTTTGCCAATTGTCTCAAACTGTCTCTCCAGTTATTTCCCTAATGGCAAAATGCACTGGTTTTATTTCAGCTTCCCCTACACTGTCTACCTTGGTTTAGATGAAAGTGTGTGAAGACAGGCTTGGCACACAAGCAGTTAAAGAGGGGAAGCTGGTGAAGGTGGTGGAGGGTGCTGAGAGGAAAGGCACACACCTGGACGATACACACCCTCACCTGTCCCACCCTCAGATGACTGAGAGTCCCATTTTGTATGCGATAGTGTGCAATTCCTCCCCTTAATGTGCAAGTGAACATTGTCAGATCTTTTTATATATTTATTTTTAAATTTTAACATTTTTGAAAGCAGTGTTGCAAAATTCCTCATACTATTGTTTGGTAAAGTAAAGAAAACAGAGGCTGTAATTAAAGTTTCCTTGGCTGGGGGTGACGGTAAAAATGTCTCACAGTGCCTCACACTGACATTGGCCCATATGGTTCATGAAGAACTTGACTAGCCCGTGAGCTTAATGCCCCCACGACTCCACTGGTCACTGACTGGTCACTTTAGTATCTGCCTCCCAGTTGTGCGAAGATGGGGTTCCTGAGGTGGGGGTCCCTGAGTACCTAGAGGAAACTCTCAGATGACAGCTTTCTCCTTGCTGACATCCTTGCTGGGGGCACGCACGAGGGTTGGTTCTGCAGGGGTTTGTGGGGTTCTGTTCTGCAGGGCTGCATGTCACAGGCAGGTCACAGGCAGGGTCCGTGGTGCTTTCATAGCACACACCAGCCCATTTGCCGGCGTGGGCTCTGCCCTTGCATTTGCTATGAAGAGGCACAGGCTGAGCTCTGAAGCTTCTGAGGGGCGCGTCTTGGTGTGATCAGCTGTCCACAGGAAACAATGCAAGTGTGGGTGACAAGGAACCGGGAACACTCGCCCCTTTGCATGTCATGCTATGACCTTCCTGACATGGGAGTGAAAGGAGAAGATATTAGAAAAGAACAAGAAAACCCGCTTTCTGATGTTGAGAATCCACTGGACTTACCCAGCGTCCTGTGCTCTCCTGCAGGGTGAATATGACAGTCCGGGCGATGACATGAATGACAGGAAGGTGAGTCAGCCTTTACTCTGCCCTGAAGACCACGCGGGGTGGCGGCTGGTGGAGGTTCCTAGATGTCTCTTTGCCTGGGGACCGGTGATGCTGACTACCCCAAACCATTTCCAGTAGCCCCCCACAAAAGCCAGAGGGCCTCCACTGAGAACGGCGGAGAGTCTGTAATTGATAGATGGAGAAACCGAGCTCCAGAGAGACTGGACACACCTTGCCCACAGTATCAGGGCCGCGGTAACCAGAGCTGGGCCAGGGACCCCATGGGCTCTCCAGCCCAGGGAATATGCACTGTCATCACACTGTTAGCTTTTCTCTTGGTCATTTTCAAGTTTTTCTCTTCGTGTGTGGCCAGTCCCAAGTTAGAGAGGACAGATGTGGGGGTGGGAGACAGGCTGATGCTGGGCATGGGCAGCTGGGATTAGAGGGGGTAGTTAGGGTTGGAGAAGGAGCCCCTTGGAAGGACCCCTGCTGTGCCAGGCACAGCTCCTCACTGCACAGCCCTCTCAAGTCAGCCGCCACCTCCACCCCACCTGTGTTTCCTGATGCTCTGGAACGTGGGTGTGCTGCCCTCCTCACCATGGCCTGGCTCTGTGAGGATCGCCCAGATTCTGTCGTGGGGACTACCCCATCTGGCTGTCAACCCCTTGTTCCAGCCTCCCTCTCTGCCTCCCCCTGCTTCAGCAACTCTGGTGAGCAGAGGCGAGTGGGCAAGGGTGGTAGGGGTGAGGAATCGAAGTCCAAGGAGTCTCCCTCTCCCCAACTCTGTTGTCTGGAAAATCAGTCATCCCCCAAGTTGCCTTTTGAGCAGCCTCCTTTTTATCCTGCCTATTAGTCCCTGTTATGAAGTGTTAAGTATTAAAAACATAAAAGGTCTTTTCCAGAAATACTGCTGTGATTGCTTACACATGTCTCCTCTCTGCCGGCCCAGGGAATCTGCTGTAGTATTTCGATGTCTTAGCCTCATCTGTTTTCTATCTGATGCTAATAGTCTCAGTGTTTAATTTCCTGAAAAGTCCCGGATCAGATTTAAAGGCAAAGGAGGAAGCATTTCTCCCCACATCACACCTCTCTCACTCCAACGTTTTTCTGTCCTCCCACCCTCTTTAAAGAGTGATTGCCATCCACTGCCCACCTAAGACACCTCCTGCTGGGTGGGTGGCAACCCTAGCTGTCAAGGTGGAGCACTTTACAAGAACATTCCAGAGACTAGCAACGCATAGTAACTCATGGGAGAAATCAACCAACCCTCTGTTATCTCAGGCACAAGAGAGAAGCAAATTGTAGACTCTCCAAAATATCTGCATGTGCAATATTATATAATTATCAACTACAGTGAAAACTTTTTTTTTTAAAGATTTATTTATTTATTTGTACAAGCACTGGGTACAGTCAGAAGTGCAGGAGGGTGAGAGAATTCACCAGAGCCAGAGTGGGGAGCAGAGCAGGCAGAAGGACTGAAGTACACTGCTGAGGGGAGCAGCGGGCGGCAGGAGAGGTCTGCGTGCCATGTGGGACCCTCGCCGGCTGCTGGGGATCGAACTGGTGCTGCAGAGGCCGCGGGCAGCTTCACAGCCCAGCGCTCAACCGCTGCGCCCCAGGGGAGGCCCTACAGTGAAAACTTTTAACCAAGATTTTCCTCCAAGGAAACAGGCTTCCTCCAGTGGAACTGTTGCCAGCGTGCAACCCAGCTGGGAGGGTGGGCTCAACCTGGGAGGCAGGGAGAGACCAGCCAGGATGGAGCTGCCCTTGGTGGATAATCCCCAAAGTTAGTGCCATGAGGATACTTGTTGAAGGTGGACAAGTGACAACGAGACCCTTTCCTGTGGCTCTTCCTTTGGTTTTCTGGCTAGTCATGGAGTCTGTATTTTTTTCTGCCAGGGTCTTGGTTGGGTAAGTAAATGACGCTGTGAAGGCAGATCAGAGAAACCATGAGTGGGAGTGGAAGCTTTCTCTGTCCTTTTGGGTTGGGAAACTGACACCCAGCGAGGAAGGCAGACTGGTTCCTGTGTCCAAAGGTGATTGTCAAGTCAGGACTAAATTCTGCTGACCTGTGGCAGCCAGGGCTCTGCAGTCACATCGACACAGCTTCTTGTGCCTCGCACAGCCATCCCCACTGCGGCGCTGGGCTCACTTCTAGAATCTCCAAAGTATATATAGATGGGTAGGGCCTCAGAGGTATTCTAAAGGAGAAAGAGTACAAACTTCTGAATATATGCAGCTTATTGATTCATTTTTATATTACATCAGCCTAATGCTCTTCAAGAGGGCTGCAGGAGGGATTTGGTTGGTTTCAGGAACATGGAGAGGGTCTGGGACTGCACTGTGGGCAGCCCCTCTGGGTACCTTTGGGGATGATATGCCATCCCGAGTTGCCCATCCTGCCAGTACCTGCAAGTTCTCCTTCACTCTTCCCTACCATGTGTGGCTGATCGCTTGGTCTCCCCGAGGTCCAGGCTCGAGGCAGATCTCCTGCAAGCCCAGAGGCTGCTGAGAATGCCTTTCTTCCCCTCCAGCCTGCCTAGAGCAGTCCTGATGACTCAACCCCAGCCTGGGGATGGAAGTCTCTCTCCTTTCCTGGAGGGTAATTATGAAGAGGCTCCTTCCCTCTAGAGAACAGGGGTTTCCTACCTTTCTAGTAGGCCAGACAGCCACCTGGGTGTGGATGGGAACCTCCTAGCTGCCAGCAGCCACCTAATTCCATGTCTGCCCAACCTGCCTGGACTCGAGCACCTGGGGATCTGGCCATGACCATCTCCCAGTGCCACCTGAGTTGCTGGCTTCCCTGCCTACTTGGGGTGGGGGTCACCCAAGGCACATCAGAATGTGATTTCCTTAACAGTTTTTAAACCTTGTTATGGATTTTGCAGCTTTTGTAGATTACCCTCTTCCCTGATTGGGGGGTGGGTCATAGTGAAGGAGGTGAAAGGGGCAGTGCTGGCTGGGGTCACCTGCTTTATGACAAGAAAGGCACTTATTTTTGGTTTCACCTGAGCAATAATCTGGCTACCCAGTGTACCTCCTGTCTTTATTAGTGGAGAAGACAGATAGTCGAAGTGGCTTGCCAAAAACTGAATCGGGTTCATTGCAGGACGGCTGCCGTGCGGGCCACCCTGTGTCTTGAATATTCTCAGTTGGCCGCCACTGGGTCTTGCTGTCTCAGGGTCAGCTGCTCTGAGGAGCCCGGGCCTCAGACAGGCCACAAGCCAAACACACGGCCATGTTCTGACCTTGTGATGGCTTTCACAGTTGGTTCCTTTCCAGTTTCTGATCCATCAGATGGGGTGTTGTCTGTGGGGTGTTGCTTCTCACTAGGAAGGTTTGGGGTCAGTCAGACATGCCTGGAATTACATCCAGGCCTCTGAAATCAGGTTCTGTCTGCTAAGAAGGAGCTTAGATCTCCCCTGTTTGCAAGCTCGAGCAATCAGCAAAGAGGGCCTGGCGTACCTCTAAAGAAGGAAGTGGATTTGCAAAGTTCTCTGCATTAGAAGGTTCTAGAGTCTGCAAAGTTAAGGGACTGTGATCAGCCACTGTGACTGTGCTCTTGCATGGTGATGTACCATGCTAATCCTGATGGGACAGAGCCTCTAGCATGTGCCTCCCTTCCCCCTGACTGTGAGTGTGTTCTGGACCCTGTAACCTGGAGTGTAGCTTGATCCTCTTGGTCTCTCACTGTGTGTGAGTAAATATTTATAGAGCTAGGGAAGGATCTACTGCACTCTTCACCCCTCTCTCCGCCTCCCCTACCTGATATAGAAGGATGCATAAGCTGGGCTTGGTAGAGCCATGTGGATGTCCAGGGCTAATTCAATATCCCTGCCCACACCTGAACTCTGTATCTCCAGTTCTTGCAGGGACTACCTACTGGTCCCCAATTCTGCATACCTTACCCTTTGTGTGCAGCTCAGACAGTTCTCTTATCTCCTCACATATAACCACAATCTGTGGCTGTAGCTAAGTGCTTTGAAGATACCACACTGAGAAAAGGACTTTCTGGGTGTTTCTTTCAGCAGGTCTGGGATCCTATTAAGGGTCAGTAAAGCTTGTGAGCTTGATGCTCAGTTTGGGCCTGAACTGACTGGACTTTTGGAACATTTTCAGTTTTCCCCTCTAAGCAGTGGCTGATAGATGTTCCCCAGCTCAGGTTTGAGCTGGACATGTGACTTGGAGAAGAATTTGTTCTGGAGGTGGGATCCTATGGGGCAGGCAGTGACGTTCCACAGCCCCCGAGGGGGGCTTTGCCCGTATCTCCTGACGTAAGCTGGCCTCCCTTTGGGGCACACATGAAGTCACTGTGACAACCAGGTGCTGGGGAGTCCAGGCTTGGCACTGGGGAGAGGTAATAAACCCAAGGGAGTAGAGTCACCCAGGATGTGGCTAGGGGTGGGGAGGAAGATGTAATAATAATAAGATGTGGAGGAGCCCCCTGCCTGGGACAGGCCACAGGGATCTCATGAATGTAGATCTCCCTTTACCCATCAGGCTCTGCGTGCCTCCTTTCTGTATTCAGCTCTCCTCCTTTGCAAGTGGGCATGCTTTGCTCTATCAGGGTTGATGTAGTTTCTGGTTCTATTTTGTGATTGTTGGGGGTATATTTCCATTATGGAGGAATGCCAGTTCTCATCTCAGTTTTAATATTATGTCTCTAAATTTCTTAGCGAGAAGTATGGCTTTCTGTAGAGCTGATGTTCCTCTGGAGGTCCAGAATTCCTAAGGACAGTAGGTTCTCCTTGATGGAATTCCTTGTGAATTCTCTGTGCTGTCTGAGAACATGATGTGTCAGGAGGAGAAGGACCGTAACAGGATAGCAATTGTGAGGCCAGACGTAGCATTTGATCATGTGCTATTGCCTGCTTAGCACTGCTGTCTACATGATGTCTGATGACGGCCTAGTCCCAACTTCCTGCATTTACTGGTGGATGATCTGTGAGCCCCCTGGCCAGGTAGTCTGCCCCTGGACTTAGACACAAGTTTTATCCACATGCCAGTTTTGCCGAAGTTGCTGGAAAGCATCACGAGATGTCTGGCCTGGTACATTTGCTTTACCGTTTCCTCCCTGAACCTCTAGAATATGTTCCACTCAAGTTTCGTCACCACCGCTCCACCAAACAGCTCTGATCAAGGTCATCAGTGACCAGTCAAGTCACTGCATCCAGCAATCTCTCCTCCATTCTCGTCTGACCTCATGCATAGCAGTGTTTGACACAGTTAGGCCTATTCTTCTCACGGCAACCCGTCATCCTTCGGTTTCCAGGACTTCACACATTTTTGGTTTCCTTCCACACCGCCGGCTGCTCTTCTGACCCACCTGGCTGTTCTCTATCCCTTGACCTCGATACATGTGACCACCTAGGACCTAGACCTCAGGTTTCTTCTCTGTTCTCTTGGCGATTGCATCCAGAGTTTACTGGCATTACAGATTTTCTCTGATACTCCCCAATTTACATCTCTCATCTGGACTGTCCTCCCTCACTGTCCCCACATGGCTACCTAGAGCACCTGAAATGCATGGGTCTCAGACTGAACTCAGCTTCAGTCGTCCTGACCTTTCTTTCCAGTCAGTGAGCTTCTTTCCCTTTCAGTAAAGGGAGCTGCCATTTACCCCGTTGCTCAGATCAAATTCTTGTCTTCTCTCCCCCCACATCCAATCCAACAGTAAATCTTGACTCTATCTTTAAAAGATAAGCAGAATCCACCACTTTGAATTAATTCTCCCACAGCTCCTATGGCTCAGACCACCATCCTCTCGAGACTGGATCACTACCACAGACCCTCCTCCTGTGCCTGCTCAGTCTGTGCTTCACACGCCAGCCGGACTAAACTACTTACAATCTAAGTCACTTCTCACCCCCTCACCACCCCCATGGTTTCCTCAAGGTCCAGAGATTTCTGCATGGCCGCAAGTCCCTCGGTGATCTGCCACCTCAGTTCTTCCTGCTATCATCTTCCTTGATTCGGCCACCCTGCTCCCCTGTTCTTCCTAGAACACACCACATGCACTTTCTCAAGGCCTTTGTGCAGAAAGAGTGTTCTTCTGCCTGGAACATGCCCTGATTTCCTTCTCTAGTGTCTCAACTCAGGGTCACCTAATCAGAGTGGCCTTCCCTTGCCAGCCTATCTAAAATAACAACCCTCCACTCCCTTCATCACATTCTACTCCTTACCTTGGTTTATTTTTCTTCATGGCATTTATGAATTTTCATATTTATAAAATGTTCATATTCATCTCCACGCACCCAGGTGTAAACTCTATGACGACCATGACTTTGTGTGTTTTCCAGCTATGTCCAGGTCTAGCACATACTAGATGTTCAATAAATATTTGTCAAATGTGTAAATAAATGAATACCAGGGTTCATTTTGCTGGATTAGGCAAGATAGAGGAACAAAAAGGAGGAACTAGGAATGCTAGGTGTAGCACTGCCCAGCATGGTAAAGATCAGTGTATAATTTGGCAAGAAGTCAATTTCTATAGCCTTCTGTCTTTGGCTATCTCCCGTGTGGTGTCTCAAGAGATTTCTCCTAGAAGCTGAGCTTTGGATATATACAATGTCGACCCACTAAGGTAGACATAAAAAGAGAAATACTTGCTTTCCTCTAGCTCTAATATTTTCCCCTATTTTTCTTGTTTAGCTGCTGTATCAGGAATGGGCACGCTATGGAGTGTTTTATAAGTTTCAACCTATTGACCTCATCAGGTAAGAAGTGGGAGTGGACTCTTGGCAGGATTCTGGAGATGTGAATCCTGAAAGATAGTCTGTCAGCCCTTTTGGACCCTGCCAGTCTGTTGATCAATCAGAGGGATCTGCTTTTCTAGATTGGATGATTTTCTCGGCCTCAAGGGTGGGGAAGGAGCTCAGGGGCAGAGGAAGGGTGGTGGCCATGTGGGTAGCAGGCACTGCAGATGGGTCTCCTGTGACTTCCAACATGAGGCCAGCAGCCTGCGGTCTCTCTGTCCCTGCCTGATTCTAGGAAGGGGTGAATGGAGCTACCATCTTCTTCTTTCCTTCACAATTGGCCGTGTGAAGCATATCCTTGGATTATATCCAGGTGGCCACTCAGTGTGGACCAAGAAAAAGAAAGATCTGGCAGATTTCATGGGACTAGCTAGCTCACCTGAATGGGAATGTGGACCTTTTATGGCTTCTCCAGAGGAGTGGGGTGAGGAGGCTGGGTTCTGCAATCTCTCACTTCAGTGCTGCTCCTAAAATGATGTCCTGTTCCTTGGTGTCCTGGAAATTCCCCCAACATCTGTAGAACATTGGTAAAAAGCCCTTTGAAAGAACTTACTAGAAGCCGTAGTTCTGACCAACTTCAAATGAATGGAAGGTTCTAGAAATTCACAGGGCTCTTAAAGCCCATTCTCCTCCTGCTGGGATGTTGGGGGGGCAACACTGTAAAGTGGGGAAGCCCTGGACTACACTGTACAGAAGGGGTTCTCATCCAGGCTTGACAACCTTGGGCAAGTCTCATTCTCTCTGGTCTTCAGGAGGCTGTTATCCTAAACCGGGCTGTTATCCTAAACCCTCAGTTTAGTGACCTGAGGAGTCTGTTCGGGGCTTTGGTGATGCATGTTTGACAGGTAAAGATGGAGATTTTAGGCCCCTTGACAGACACAATGGACTTACTGCCACATGGTTGCTGTGACTCTTCTGATGGGCTAATTAATCAGCCGGCGAAGACAGAGTGTGTTCCTGGCTGATGGCCCTGGGCTGGGCTTGTGAGAGGGGCAGCGGCCAGCAGGACTGACTCCAGAGGGAGGAATTCCAGCTTCTTCTTGGAAGAAGAAAGCAGGCGGGGGCCCCAGTTTGGCCAGGTTCACCTCCCACATGGAGCTGTGACGCCCTCCCAGGGAAATGGGAGCTGGTTGGATGTCTCTTGACGGCAGGTGTTTGTTCCAGCTGAAGACCGTAGCCAAAGCGCTCAGGTTGGGGAGCAGGGCCACGGGTGCCGGTAACTGGGGCTCCCTCATAAGGAGCCTCCCTTTCCCTGGCTGCCTTTTATGAGGCCCAGGCCACCTAGACTGTTCTTTGGGCCACACCAAGACTGCTTCCTCCTTGCTTGGTGGACTTTGTCCTCTCTGCATCTCCAGTGGCCACCCACACTGTCGCTGATCTGCTCTAACTACTCATTCATGTCTTAAAAATAAGATTTACAAAAAACAAGCCTCCCTACCAAAGAACCCTGTCTTTCCTCAGAGATGTCAGGTGACTGGCTGCCAGTAAGTGGGAATGCTCCAGTTTGCACTCAGTTTGGCCACCAAGGCAGCCTCACCTGCAGGGGAAGAATGGCTTTTGGAGCAGAGCCCTGTGCTGGGGCCTGCAGGTCCCGAGCCCCAGAGCTTGAATCTGTCTAGACGGGGCCACCTCTGCTGCAAGCTGAGGTGTGCACTGTTCCTCACAGATCAGAGGGTGCAGAGTTTCCCCCGGCCCCTGGGCAGAGCCAGTGGTGTGGCCAGGATGGGGCTGGCTGGAGTCTCCAACCTCTTGGGACATAGGCTGGAGGTGAGGGAATGGGCAGTGGGTGCGTAAGGGCTGGGGGGGCTGTTGTCTCCCTACTGGATTAAGAGCTCTCTGACCCCAGGGAACTGCTGGAGAGAAAGTGACATCGTGAGAAGTAGTGGTGACTGAGGAAAGGAGCAGGACGCTGGCAGGCAAGCAGGAGAGGGAAGTCGAGAGCAGGCACCTGGAGGGCTGGCAGGGAGGACAGCCGGTGGGGAATGCGGGCTTTGCTACCCACACTCCCCCCAAGCCCATTTCACTCTGCCTTCCAGGAGGCTCATCTCACCTTTCTGGTTCTGTCAAAGTCACCTCCCCATTCCTCCTCCTCATCATCTGTCCTCTCTCATCCCCACCCCCCGAAACAAAGTTCTGTGGGTGATTTTCTGTGTCACTTCTCTCTGCCATTTCTTGCCCTGTGTGAGGCCCTCTCAAAGCAGAGACCGGCCCGTGTCCAGGAGTGTCCTCCGTGGCTGACCTACTTACTGATGGGCTGTGCTCTCTGTGCCTCACGTAGAAATTGTACCCTAATAGACTGCTTGGAAAGATGCTCAGAGCAGGGGTCTTACATAAGTGGCGTAGGATCATCTGCGCAAATGTCTCCTGAGGCATTTTCCTATTTCCTTGGCCCTTAGCTCATTTCCAGCACTGAGTTTTCGTTCCTCCCATGGAGTCAGAGTGCTCATTGCTTACCAGTCATCTGGAACATTCTAAAGCATTGAGAAGTGGCAGGAGATGTGTTTGCATTCTGAAAGCCCCTGGACTGCTTATCCTTCCCCTCCTGCAGGCCTTCAAACCTAAGGTTGAGATTTGGGGTTTGTGGTTCCTTTCTCAAGTGTTGAAAGTGGACAGAGGGCCACAAGATGCCCTTCCCTGCACCCCGGCCTGGTCTCCTCCTGCTGCACTGTCCTTCCTGTCCAGCAGGCTGCACTGTGAGACCACTCATGGTCCTCTCCCCGCCGGCCGGGCTCTCAGCCCCACGCTACCTTTGCTCTATCATGCTCAGGGCTGCAGGTCTGAGCTGAGACTGTGTGTGTGTGTGTGTGTGTGTAACAGTTGCTTGCAAAGTTCTCGAAGGAGTGGTCTTGCTGGGGCCCACTTTGCAGTAGATCCTTCGGGGCCTCCCGCCCAGCAGCACTAGGCCCTGGCAGAGACATGGTTTGTGACAAGATGATGGGGAAAATGATGCCTGGGCTAAAGGGAGTGACTCTCCCCTTGGCTTGGGAATCTTTAGGGGATCCTTGCAGCCCAAGAAGTCAATTTTTCCTGCACTGCTCAGGGTGAACACCCCAACATCCAGGTAGGGAATCTGCCTTTGTTTTCTGGGAGTCTGGGACTTTTGCACATGTCCACGTGTGACCCCACATCAGCCAAGGCCGTGACCTTCCTTTTCACTAAAATCAGGGCCTGCCCACAAGCTGATTTTCTCAGGTTGGAGGTTTTGATGGGGATGAGACAAAACAATTGGCGTTAAGCATTCCGAGTTTGATTAACACCTACTATATTTTGCCTAAGTTGATGTAAAAATTTTATTTTTAAGCATCTTGTGCTCCCTGCCCATGACAGTGTGAGAAGGAGGGGGTCCAGACATCCACCTGGCTTGGGGGGTGGTGGCAGCTGGGAAATTCACCAAGGGGACGAATGCTCGGGCAGTTTTTGCTATGTGAGGAGCACACTCTGGACAAAGGTGAATGGTTCTGTTCCTTCCTGCCTCTTTCAGCAATGGCTACTTCACGAGTAAGTCTCTCTAGAAATCAGACCCTGGGCTTGAAGCCTGACCATGTGGCAAATCAGAGCTCTCTTCGAAATGCTCTGCTTTGAGAAATGAACAGCTTCAGTAGTGACCTGAGAGTGATATCTGGGGGGTGGCACCCTCTCAATAGCTTTTGGGTGTCATTTGTGGGCAGCAAGAGTGTCATTGTGCCCACATTGCTACACAGTCCTGCCTTCTTAGATGCCTGGCCTTCTCCAGTCCTGCCCATGCAGGCCTATCCAGAACCCTGGTGTCTGAGGAGTTCACCTTCCCTCCTCCTGCCATCCCACAGAAGCTCTTGTCCTGGCCAGTGTGCAGGATGACCACTTCTCAGTCCCCACTTCTGCCCTGCTGAAATGTGACCCATCAAATCCTCCAGAAGGGAACCAGAGGAGGCCACATTCTTCCTTAGGAGTTCAGGAGAGCACTGTCCACAGCTGCTTTGGGGGAGGGAACTAAGAGGAAAACAATGTTGATCAATGGGTGATTAATTATTTCCTGAGCCCTGCTGCCTCCTAGATCCTTCCCTTGGATTTATAGAGGCAATTCAGCTCAACGCAGTAAACATTTAATGATGCTTACAATGAGCAAGCCTCTCAACAAGCTCAGCAGCCTGGGGAGTGCAGCAGTAAATAAGGTGGAGTTTGCGCCCTTAAGGACCTAGTATTTATGTGGGGAGACAGATGTGTGCAATGAGGGCTGGGTGAAATGAGGGCTTGTAAGGATTCCAAGTGGAACACGACAGTAAGGACAACTGATGAAGAGTAATTGCTACTGGCAGAATAAGGGAAAACTTCCTGGAAGAGGGGGGCACTTGAATTAGAAACACTGCTCTCTAAAATCAGTGGTTAAAGTTTCTGAACGTGCCTTTGCAGCCTGAGTGATCCTGTATCCTAATCCTGTTTAGACTGATAGTGATGGCCAGAAATTACATGGACCCGGATCAGGAGGATTAGGGATGCTCAGGTGAAGAGCTCAAAGCGCAGATATCCCTGGTTGGGCTGTGCACCTACCTGGTCTATTTTCCTTGCTCTGTCCTCTAAGTGAGCAGAGATCCAGGTTTGGAGGGAGGTGAGTTTGGTGAGCTCCTATGTGGGATAGGAGGCTGAAGAGAGATGAAATGTGGGACTTGCACTGTGGTCTTTACTCAGCTCTCAGCATTTGAAGTGTTGGCTTTGGCTGAGAAACACTTTATAATGTAGAAACAAATACTGTCTCTTGGGCCTGAAGAATATCTTTCTTTTATCACTGAGGGTGTGGGGCAGAGTAGACAGAGAAAAGCAGGCAGTAGCTGGTTAGGGCAAGGCAAAAGCAGACATAATGTTCTCTGGTACTACATTCTGGCCCATGTTATAGGTCAGGAAGTAACCTGGGCTGTTTCTTAAATGTACCTGTGGAAAGGCTCTCACTTCCCCTACCAAGTGACATGCACCTCACTCTGCACCCT